CAGATGACAGTGGCGACAAGGTTGACGGCCGCTGATGCCACATCCTGAAGCAGATTTTTCTAACAGTCTTATCATCTTACGTTTAACATCAATACCGCTTATTCTTAATGTAATTAGTTGCAAGATTTATTTGCCCCTCTCAAAAAAAAAATTACTCGAGTTTTCAACTTCCGCTGAAGATATACCATAATATTTACGTTCATCATTATGTCTTCTAATGAGTTTCCCCGGCTAAATAAAAGAGTTAATCAGGTATTTAAATGGTATTTGGAAACTGTTGGTTAGGCTTCCTGTCGAAGTTACACATGTTGAGGTTGAGCTTTTGTTATGCTACTCTCTGGTCAGCCCCTTTTTTTTCCAACTTTTTTATGAATTCGAGCACTCCAGGAAGATTTGAATAGACTGATGCAGTGGTCGGAGAAGTGGCAGATGCAGTTTAATATAGACAAATGCAAAGTTCTAAATGTTGGACAGGACAATAACCATGCCACATATAAACTAAATAATGTAGATCTTAATATTACGGATTGCGAAAAAGATTTAGGAGTTCTGGTTAGCAGTAATCTGAAACCAAGACAACAGTGCATAAGTGTTCGCAATAAAGCTAATAGAATCCTTGGCTTCATATCAAGAAGCATAAATAATAGGAGTCCTCAGGTTGTTCAACTCTATACATCCTTGGTTAGGCCTCATTTAGATTATGCTGCACAGTTTTGGTCACCGTATTACAGAATGGATATAAATTCTCTGGAAAATGTACAAAGGAGGATGACAAAGTTGATCCCATGTATCAGAAACCTTCCCTATGAGGATAGACTAAGGGCCCTGAAACTGCACTCTCTAGAAAGACGTAGAATTAGGGGGGATATGATTGAGGTGTATAAATGGAAGACAGGAATAAATAAAGGGGATGTAAATAGTGTGCTGAAAATATCTAGCCTAGACAGGACTCGCAGCAATGGTTTTAAGTTGGAAAAATTCAGATTCAGGAAGGATATAGGAAAGTACTGGTTTGGTAATAGAGTTGTGGATGAGTGGAACAAACTCCCAAATACCGTTATAGAGGCCAGAACGTTGTGTAGCTTTAAAAATAGGTTGGATAAATACATGAGTAGATGTGGGTGGGTGTGAGTTAGACCTGATAGCTTGTGCTACCAGGTCGGTTGCCGTGTTCCTCCCTTAAGTCAATGTGACCTGACCTGACTAGGTTGGGTGCATTGGCTTAAGCCGGTAGGAGACTTGGACCTGCCTTGCATGGGCCAGTAGGCCTTCTGCAGTGTTCCTTCGTTCTTATGTTCTTATGTTCTTATGAATGGATATTTTATGCACATATACATGTAATACCTTAATAACACATACACATAAGATCTGATACACTTAATATAAATACACACAATATGTATTATATATAAGCGCACATTATGTAACACATTATGTGCATATTAAACGCATGTCTTATAAAAGGGCACACATTAAGTATATATATGTATATATAAGATCACAGAAACAAGTGACACCCTAACGTGTCAGTTTATTCACAGAACTCTCGTGATGCGTCAGTAACATTCTCAAGGGATGTGTCTTTGAGAATGTTATGTCAGTCTCATTCGTAAAGAATGTTTCTTGATAATGGTTTTGACACATCACGAAAATAAAACTGTATGTTATAATCATTATTGCACACATTCTTATAACAGTGGTTTTATTACAGTTACGAGGAAGCTCTAAATCCGTAGGGGATCATACAGAGCCTGGAGAGTGGGAAATAATCATGGTTAACCTGATGAACGGAAGATTAGCTTCAATTCTTTGGATCAAGAGCATTGTATTGGCGTTCTTACAAGGACTTTCTAACATCCTTAGAATGGGTGTTACGGCTCCTACATTTTCCAATCACTTTAGCTACAGGAAGAGCTAAAGTGATTGTGTATACATATGAAACGTTGGAATTTGTGAGAAAAAAATGAGTTTGCATGTAAAGGAATATGTGGGACGCCCCTCCATGATACATCGGTATCTCTCGGCAGGTGTATGTCGCTTCCTGATGTCGCTCCCTGAATGTCGCTCCCTGTATGTCGCTCCCTGAATGTCGCTCCCTGTATGTCGCTCCCTGAATGTCGCTCCTTGTATGTCGCTCCCTGAATGTCGCTCCCTGTATGTCGCTCCCTGAATGTCGCTCCTTGTATGTTGCTCACTGAATGTCGCTCCCTGAATGTCGCTCACTGAATGTCGCTCCCTGAATGTCGTTCCCTGAATGTCGCTCCTTGTATGTCGCTCACTGAATGTCGCTCACTGAATTTCGCTTCCTGAATGTCGCTCACTGAATGTCGCTCCCTGATTGTCGCTCCCTGATTGTCGCTCCCTGAATGTCGCTCCCTGAATGTCGCTCACTGAATTTCGCTTCCTGAATGTCGCTCACTGAATGTCGCTTCCTGAATGTCGCTCCCTGATTGTCGCTCCCTGAATGTCGCTCCCTGAATGTCGCTCCCTGAATGTCGCTCCCTGAATGTCGCTCCCTGAATGTCGCTCCCTGAACGTCGCTCCCTGAAAGTCGCTCCCTGAATGTCGCTCCCTGAATGTCGCTCCCTGAAAGTCGCTCCCTGAACGTCGCTCCCTGAAAGTCGCTCCCTGAATGTTGCTCTCTGAACGTCGCTCCCTGAACGTGGCTCCCTGAAAGTCTCTCCCTGAACGTCGCTCCCTGTACAGTACGCTCCGTACTATGCTCCCCTTACGTCGCTCCCTCTACGTTGCTTCCTGGACGGTATTTACTGTACATCGATCCTTGTGTGATGTTCACTTGAAGGATAAAGTAAGGGGGGTGTGGGTAATGCGAGTGTTCCTTGTTCCTACATTATGCCGGGACGAGCTGGAGAGAGAGAGAGAGAGAGAGAGAGAGAGAGAGAGAGAGAGAGAGAGAGAGAGAGAGAGACAGAGACAGAGACAGAGACAGAGACAGAGACAGAGAGAGAGAAGAGAGAGCAGATGAGAGAACAGAGAGAGACAGAGAGAGACCAGAAGAGCGGGAGAGAGAGAGAGAGAGAGAGAGGAGAGAGAGAGAGAGAGAGAGAGAGAGGGGAGAGAAGAGAGAGAGAGAGAAGAGGGGAGAAAAGACGAGCAGAGACAGAGAGAAGAGAGAGAGAAGGAGAGAGAGAGAGAGAGAGAGAGAGAGAGAGAAGAGAGAGAGGAGACAGAGAGAGAGAAAAGAGAGAGAGAGAGAAGAGAGAGAGAGAGAGAGAGAGAGAGGGGAGAGGGGAGAGAGAGAGAGAGAGAGAGGAAGAAGAGAGAGAGAGAGAGGAGAAAGAGAGAAGAGGAGAGAGAGAGACAGAGAGAGAGAACAGAGAGGGGAGAGAGACAGAGAGAGAGAGAAAAGAGAGAAGAGAGAGAGAGGGGAGAGAGGGGAGAGAGAGAGAGAGAGGGAGAGGGAGAGAGAGACAGAGACAGAGAGACAGAGACAGACAGAGACAGACAAAGAGAGTTGCTACGTGAGCAACACTCGGGTCTCTTCATTTTTTTTTCAACCATAAACATACCCAAGTTATACTCAAGCTCAGGGGCCAATCTACCATGAAACTAATGAAGCTTTAAGTTTCAGGGCTCCTAAACCCGGAGGAGCACCTGAACAGACTTTAGTGAACATTGCTTAAATTTTTTGATCTGCTATAGAGAAAGAGTTTTTAAAAATTAATGATATTAATAATATAGTGTAATTCATTTCAAAATAATACTTAAAATAAAAATTAAGAGGTTATTAAAATATCATGTAAACTAACCGTTGCTGGTTGCCATGGTGACCCCATAACAGTTCAATCTTCAGGGCCCTAAAAGTCTAGGTCCGCCACTGCTCAGGTGTCTTATTCGTCACTATTGTCTACCATCAAAGATATGAATTGTATTGTTCGTTCTCAGGGATGTTAGGTAGTGGAAGGACCCAGGCGAAGCAATAGTAGATATAGGTTCCGTACACAGCTTTAAGAATAAGTATGATAGTGCCAATGTAGATACGAGTCAGCAAACCCTGGTAACGAGTTATTTTAAGAGGTACGGACGGACGGACGTACACACACACACACACACACACACACACACACACACACACACACACACACACACACACACACACACACACACACACACACACAAAGAAGACCGCAGACGGAGTACAGTCTAAGGGGGCCAGAGACTACAAACCTCACTCAAGGAAAAAGATCTCGGGTGAGTATAACACCAGGCACATCTCCTGAAGCGCACATCAACCAAATAACTGCTGCAGCATATGGGCGCCTGGCAAACCTCAGAACAGCATTCCGACATCTTAATAAGGAATCGTTCAGGACCCTGTACACCGTGTACGTTAGGCCCATATCGGAGTATGCGGCACCAGTTTGGAACACACATCTAGCCAAGCACGTAAAGAAACTAGAGAAAGTGCAAAGGTTTGCAACAGAGGTTTGCAACAGAGCTAAGAGGTATGTCCTACGAAGAGAGGTTAAGGGAAATCAACCTGACGACACTGGAGGACAGGAGAGATAAGGGGGACACGATAACGACATACAAAATACTGAGAGGAATTGACAAGGTGGACAAAGACAGGATGTTCCAGACATTGGACACAGTAACAAGGGGACACAGTTGGAAGTTGAAGACACAGATGAATCACAGGGATGTTAGGAAGTATTTCTTCAGCCACAGAGTAGTCAGGAAGTGGAATAGTCTAGAAAGTAACGTAGTGGAGGCGGGAACCATACATAGTTTTAAGGCGAGGTATGATAAAGCTCATAGGGCAGGGAGAGAGAGGACCTAGTAGCAATCAGCGAAGAGGCGGGGCCAGGAGCTATGACTCGACCCCTGCAACCACAAATAGGTGAGTACAAATAGGTGAGTACAAATAGGTGAGTACCACACCACACCACACACGCACACACACACAAACACGCACACGCACACACACACACACGCACGCACACACACACAAACACGCACACACAGCACACACACACAAA